ACCAAACCTAGACCCCAAACCCCTAGTTAGCCCTAAAGCCCCGATCCCCCAAGCCCAAGCCTAAACCATACCCAATTCCCTAGGTTTAAGGCCCGATCCTTAGCCTAGCCGAGGGCCTCCGGCCTGGGCCAAATCTCCAAGGACGCTAAGGTAGACCCCCTGTTTGTTAGCATAAGGGTGGACCCCCAGATGAAAAACCCCAGATTAAAAACGCACCCTGGAGCCTTGGACCCACAGCCACGGCCCAGAGCCACAACTAACTAACCTGAAGCCAAGGTTCTTGGCAAGATGCTTGCGCTCCAAGTGATGGACGTACCTTGGCTTCTTCGAAGGATTCTTGTCCTTGGTGTCGATGAAGTACTCGCCGTTCGGGGCTTGCAACAGCTCCCATTCAAAGCCTTGGTCCAATGGAATCACCGCATGCTCGGTGTGAAGATGGGGCTGGCCATCAATCATGTTGATGAAGGGAAACGTTTCCTCGGCTTCGGATGGACTGTCCTTAGATCACATGAAGATCATGATCATTCCGAATCACACGCTACATGCACGAAGCTGCACACACACACACACACGCATGGAATCATAGCTAGCGTCTTCATCATCATCATCCGCTGGCAGCCGCATCCCAGGCAACAGGCTCGGGTCACTGCTCTGGCCGGCCAACGCGCTGGACGAGGTGCTGATGAGGGTGTAGACGGGGATCGGGTCAGTTGAGCCACCTTGGAACGCCATGAGCTCGCCTTCGATGTCCGCCACGGACCAGTACCCATCCCCGTTCGAGGAAAGGCTTGGCAATGGAGCGGAACGGTCGGGACCTCCATCTGGATCCGACATAAAGATCAGCCACTGACCATCACCTTGAAAGCTCGTCCAAACCAAGGGGACTTGCTCTTCGTCCTCGCCACCATCATCCTCCTCCTCTGCCGGCGCTTCCCCGTCGGGAACTCCTTCATCAAGCGCCCCCGCGGGCGCAGCTGCCACGGCAGCCGATGCGAGGTCACGTGACATCAGACGATGCACATGGTCACGGGCCTGAGCTCCGTTATACCTTAGCTTGGACAGCGGCCGCCCCAGGCGGTTATACTCCGCCACCAGGGCTTCGAGACAGGCAGCTTTTTCGAACCTGAGCCAACGTCCAACATGGCATCCTAAACGCAAGGGACACATGCATGGAAATAGCAGGCCCTAGTTCACCCTAGTCCATCCAAGCAGCGAGGGCAACCTGGACGTGGGACTAAGGCCCGTGCCCAAGTAAAGTAAGCAAAACAGCTGCTCCCGGGAGCATTGCTGCAGCATGACCATAGTACATGCTGCACCGTCTAGGTGGTTCAACCATTCCTGGAGGTGAGAGTCCTGGGTTCATATGCAACAACACGAGTGACAGCACTTCATTGGTCGTGATTAGCTGCATCTCGAATTGCACACGAGGCTCACTGATGTAGCTGAGATTGTGATAGCTCGACGAATATCTTTCGACAGTGCGGCGCCGGCTGCCAGGTGCCGACTTTGCCTTCGGGTTGACACTGCCACTGCCGCGGCCTGTGGGGACAGCACCAATCACGAAGCCATCGCCCCACATCAATGGAGCTGGCTCCTTGGCCGCAGGAGCAGCAGGAGCTGCAGCAGTCCCACGCGGTGACGGGGGAACGTTTGTGGGATCAAAGTCCAGGAAGGCAGCACTAGCTTTGGTCTTTGGGGGTGGTGGAGGGAGCGAGACTGCTTTAGCCACAGTCTTCGGGGTGGGCACAGACAGAGCTGGCGCAGCCGCTTTCATTGCCAGCTTGGCTTTNNNGCTTTCACCTTGGGAAGGGGCGGGGCGGGCGGGGCCGGCGGGGCCTTAGCCGGAGCCTTTCCCTTTGCGGGTGCTGCTTTACCACCTGCCATCGACCCCACGGACCAGGCAGCTACAGACAGACCAGCTTAGACTAACTGCAAATCTAGAGAGGTACAGCCGCTGGCAAACAGAGAGTCGCTGCATGATGTGGCCCCTCAATGCACAGGATAGCAGGAGAAGGCTGCAACAACTTCAACATGCTAAGTGAGTGAACATGAATGAACACTTTT